ATGTCACTCATACGTCACCATGTTCCGTTCAAAGTGATCAAATAAAATCGAATAATGTAAAAATTAATAAATTAAAGCATAGACTTCATAACTTATTTAGGAAAAAATTATTTATTTTACTATTTTTTTATTTTATTTTATACTTTGTAAAAACTTAATAACTGGATTTGAATTGTAATAATATTTTTTAAATTATTTATTTTGAGTTGATTTTTTCTTTTTTTAAAAACTAATGACTGGACTTGAATTATTAAAATTATAATTTTCATAATATATTTATGTGTTATAAATATAATTCAAATGTAGAAATAATATTCTCAGACCTAAAATAACCTTTTTTTTAATTAGTTACATATCAAAATGAAATGTAAAATGGTGATCTTGAATCAATTATCAAAATATAAACTTATTGTACATACTTATTGTTCCATATAGCTTCTTAAAATTGTAAAAAACTAAAAATATTGAGACCGAAAATTTATTTTTTGTAATAAATTATAGCTTATAGCTAAAATTTGTTTCTATTTTATTGCTTTTTTCGAAATATAATTTAATTAAAAATTTCAACAAACATTTTTAAGTACATGATTAACAAAATACATTGGTGCCCTTAAAAAATAATGTGCAATTTGTACTTGCAGTAAGGGTTCTATAGAGTGCCTAATACTCTTTTTTCTCCATCACTTAATAATCCATTGCTCTGTCTTTTTTTTGATTTTGAAAAGGTATTTGATTGTTATTAAAATTTCCTACAACTATTACAAAACAGCGACTTCAAGCTTATGCTACACAACTTCTAAATTTACAACTTTGTATTTCCAAATTGAGGATGTTACCAACTAACAAAAAACAAATTTAATTTAACACAAAAAAATCAAAACGCAATAAAAAAAACAATGAAAACTGGTTGCAAACAGAACCAAGCCTTAATTTGCACCTAGCCTAGCTCAAAGCTTAAAGTTCCTCACGCACATTTACACATACTTACATACATATTTACATATCTATTTTTGTAAGTTGAAACCCTAACGAATCGAGGTTAGGTTGTTTGTGGTGAGGCTCTGCCAATAGTTGTTGCCCAATATCAACAACAACAGAGCCACGTCTAAAAGTAGTTAGCTCGCTCCATTGTGTTGGTAGTAAATAGTTAAATAGTTAAAGTGGGAAGTAGTCTCTCATGTGTGGCAAGAAATTATAATGAAATTTATATACAATATACAATATTAATGAACAACATATGTTTCAACACACATATAATATAATCATATATTGTTGATCTATCTCGTCGTTATTCGCCCCCACTATAATAATAGACATGCTATCAGCCTAGTCGGCTTTAGTTTTAGCTAACAGTTTTGTTGTTTTTGCTTGTATCCATAAAATTTAAATCTAAATCTAAAATACTATAGCCTGTGGTATGGATACGAATAATCATATACATATGTACATACGTACACATGTGTACATTTATACACGTATATACATATATTAAAATGCCTGACTATATGACTTGATATTTACAAAGTAAATATCATTCTATGACAATGTGATTGCGACGTTTCTTTCGCAGCAGTAGTCATCGTCGCCGCAGTCGCTATTACTTTGCCTTTGCTGTTGTTGTTGTTGCTGTTGCTGTTGCTGCCGGTGAGAATGCGTTAGAGAACAGGTATCTCAGGTATTGTGCTTTTATCTGTGTCTGCAAATATACGTAACCAGCTCCACAAATGTGTTTCTATGACTTTTAAGGTTTTTCATAGACGCATATACATATATATATAAATACATAAATATATATATGTATATATTTTTTGCCTATACACTGCTGCGTTTTTATTCCTTTGCTTTTCGTTTTGCATTTTGTGCTGTTCTAAGTTCATTTTGCCGCGATCGTATCAGTTGCTTGTCCCCAAACGAAAAAAATATTCGCTTTGTTATTTTGCTTGTGTCATTGCTGTAGCCAAAGAGAAAATTCCTTTACACGTAGGCAGGTATAAAATGAACAGTGAACAGTGAACAATAAACAACAATAACAGTGAAGCTTTTTGTAATGGGAAAAATAGTTGTGAAAGCTTTATTATTAGTGGAATTAACTAATTCCTATGAACACGTACAAATGTTAAATATTCAGCTTGTACTCTGTGTCTTTTTTTGTTTTCATTTTGTTGATTTTTTCAATAATTTTCCTACCCAAAAAATTTCTCAATGTAATCAGGGCAACACTGGTTTACGTTGAAACCATGACAACATTTACAATAACAACAATTGCTACACAATTTTAAAATACTGATCGTGTTGGGGCTGCGGTGGTTTGCTAGCAAATTGGTTCTGTTGTTACTGATAAAGCAGGAGAAGCAGGCGAGAGGAAGTCATTGAACAAAAAAAATTAAGAAAAATATATGTATGTACATATTAAACAGACTAAAAAAACACGCAATAGGGCAAGGCAAACAGGCACGGAATTTACGACACGATTCAGTGACTGCGTATCACCATTTGAATGCTTGTTTGCATTAGTGTTAGTATTTATGGCAAATGTGCATATGTAATTTTTTATTTAAAGTTGTGTTTGTTAAGCGAAAAAGTTATGTCTCTCGGAAGAGGAGAAACAAAAATCTAAGTGCTATAATCAGGAGCGTATTTTACGCAGCTCAAATGTATATAAATATTATTTTAGTTATTTGTTAGATATATTAAAATTCAAGTAAATTAAAGTAAAACTAAAAAATATATTTTTTATATATATTATAAGAATTATTTCGTTTTTAAAACATCTTAATTATTTTTAAGACATTGAAAAAAATGCACTCAAAGGTGTGATTTACCACAAATATTTAACAACAAATATATATGTTTAAATATAATATGTTTATTTAATCTGTAAATTTTTTCAATATACATACATATGTATTCATATATTTATAATGTCGAACTATATTAAATTCCTTTTTTAACTTAATGTTAAAAATACTTTGAAAATGTTAGTAAAAAATCCTACAAAAACAAAGTTATTCATATGCTTACGTAATTGGTTTTTTTCTTAAATATGAAAAATTTCCTGCATAACAAGAAATTGTTATTATACCCTTATACATATTGTAATTCCACAAACAAACAAAAACGATATTTTTTAATTTGTGTAGGGAGGGACTCTATAACTTCAAGCAGTTTTAAGAAAGCTTTATATATTTTTCCTCATTTCTTAAGAGTACGTTTCTGCGCTCTTATGCACATCTATTGTTTTTGTATGAGATTACTCACAACATTGGAGACTTTGCTTAAAGCACATGTAAATAAATTTGTCTACACTCATTCTAGTGTTCAGCAACAAGTTTTTTTACACTTTTAATAAGTTCTGCTCAAACCGCTACACGATCATGCTTAACTGCTCTCGCAAGCATAAACACATGCATATAATTAAACAACATTGTGTGTACATATATTAGTCGTACGTATATATATATATGAATATATCATATGTATTTATTTGTAATGTTTAGGGGTAGCCCTGCCGTGTAATATAGCGTATGCTCTCTTTTAGTTTTACATCTTACATTTATTGTTTCTCTACTCATTTTCTCTTTTTCTCACACACACTTATTCGCTACTCCCTAGGATCAACGAGGAAGAATTCACAATGTTCGAAAAGTCATTCGTGCTCTGAAAACTGAAGTGAAAGGACGTGAACGCGTAAAAAAATAATTATTTCTGATATCATAAAAAAAAGCTTTAAGCTTTAAAAAGGTGAGGGACAAGCAAGAAGAAACTAATTTAGTGAGAAGAAATAATATTCCTTATATTACAAATGTTTTAAAAAGTACAAATTTTGTTTATACTTTAACTCGACGAAACTTAAGATAAAAAAAAAATTTGGTTCTTATAACTTAACTGAAGCAGTGTAACGGTTACTTCAACCGGATGTCCTACATTTTTTGCTAATGTTATTAGTACCACATCGTGTGATCGGGTTTAGTTTACGCCCATTAAAAAATATCAATTCGGTTTGTGTTCTAATTTATTTATCATTTACTAAAAGGAACTTTGATTTGTTCAGTTTTTTAACAATTATACCGCTAAATAATTTCCAACACATATTTATTGTTTTTTTATGAGTAATAAAAGAGAGTACCGCCATTCATTAATTACTAAAATATTCTATCTCTAATACCTTATTCACGTATTAATTTAAAAACAAGTGCATAAAGCGACAACAGAAATGACAGTGGAGCAAAGAGAAAATCAAAATCAAATAATTTCATAATATAATTTCATAATGACTACAATAAGAAAGGAGTAACTTCATAAAAAATTAATTATGTTATAATTAATTAAATTGACAAAAAAAAAATATATTGAATCGTGTTATAGATAAATAACGATAAAAATAAATATTAAAAATTGCCATGCTTAAGGAAGGAAAACAGTGCTGTTATTTTATTTTAATAATTCTATAAAATAACATTATTTTGTGTACTTTTTTTTTTGCTTGCGAAAAAGTTCACTAAAAAAAAAAGTTGTTGATAGGTGGAATTACTCAATTTTTAATTCGCGTTAGCTCCAATTAAAGCACTTCTTTTTTTAAAAAATATCATATAAAATTAAAAGGAAAATAAATGCTGAGTTTTACTAAAATGACTCCAATTGTAAAAAAAAAAGTTTTAATGTGTTAAAACCATCTGTTGCATTTCTATGAAATTAACATCAAATGCATATTCGATCAGAAATTCATTTTCGAAAAACAAACCACACATGTTTTCTTTAACTGAGCTTTAAATTATCGAAAATATTACACATAACAACAACAACAACAACTACTACTGAAAACAGATTACAAAAATGTTTAGCAATTAATTTTTTTTTAAAAATCTATTACCTTGTATCCTCATCTCCCACTTTAAATTTTTTGTCTTTTTGTTTTTTTTTTTGTATTTAAATGAAAACATGTTTGCCTTCAAAATTAGCTTTTCATTACTATTTGCTCCCTTTCTCGTACAGATTTTTTTAATGTTTCATTCCTTTGTACTCACGTTACGATTGCGTCCATATCTTATTGCCGCTGTTGTTGTTGTTGTTACTTGTCTATTTATGTTGTTGTTATTGTTGCTTTAGTGTAGTTGACTTTTGCCATTAATAATTTAATTTGTTGTAGTTTCTATTACACACGAGTATGTGTTCGCGATAGTGTATGTGCTATATATGTATGTATATGCAATATATATTTTTCTATTGCTTTTTCTTTTTTCGCTTTTCGAGCTTGTAGCTCCACACCCTTCAGCATTTTTGTTTTGCCTTGTTACTTTATACTATATATAATTGTTGAATCCAAATAAGGAATAAATTTTTTAACAAGAATTAATTTTTTAAAATTAATAAATATAATGCACAGTACTACACCAAATTATAATAACAATTAAATTAAATAGTTAGTTTTTAAAATTTTGCCTTTGCGAAGTGCTAGGAAAAAGTTTTTTTTTTGTTTTACCATTTTTTTAATAAGTTATAAACTTTAACAAATTTTGCTATTTATAAATCAGTACTCAATGAAAAACATAACAAAAACAGTTATAAACTAAACATTTTAAACGGCGCCCAACCCAAATTTATGCGTGCATGTGCAACAGGCGCATACATATTAAAAACCAATTAGAAACTAAACGCAGCGTTGGTATTTCTCTCTCAAAGAGATTCTTTTGTGTAACTATTCATATATGCTCTGTATTTAATGTGAAAATAAACAAAACGAAGTTACAGAAGAGCTAATAAAGTTTATCCTGCTCTAACGTAGCATCTAAAATGAATGTCAGCATAAGTAGATTCGTTATTCCTTAAAATCATTTATTTGACACAAGTCAAGTAAGCTGCCTGTTATATTTTGTTGTTATATTAATTATTTAACAAAAAGCAAATAACCGCAGATCATTATTTATTGTGATTTTCATATCAGATTATTTTATTTCGTTTTAAATGAATTTGAAGTTCAAAAGTAACAAGAAATAAACTGTTTATCCTTTTACAAATAAATTCCATAAAATGAATCCTAGCATAAACAGAGTTGTTATTAAGAGATTATTTGATTTATATAGTTTGTTGATTTTTTTTATATACATGCGTACATATATGTATAATGGACAATAAAATAACTAAAAATTAAAAAACTTTTTATATTTATTAAATAATCTAATTATCGTTTGTTGAAAAAAAATGTAAATTAACAATTATATATAATATATAATAATTTTTATGTTGTATAGTTTTTTTTTTTTTTTGTTGTGTAAAATGAATATCCGAAGCATCTACGTTTTTTTTTCTTTTCTTTTTTTTCATTTTAAACGAACCACACTAAGTTTAGTTGCTCTATTACAATCCTGTTAGCAAATTTCTTTAGTGGTATATCGTATTTTTTTTTATAACAAATATATTATTTTATAATGTGCATTATATTTTGTAAAGATGATAATAATAATAACAATACTTTTCATGCTTTTCTTTACAGAAAAACATTAATAAAATGTTTATATTGGTTTGAGCACTACATAACATAGTTTACATGTAAATATCACAAATTGCGAGAGAATAAAAAATTCTTTGAATTAGAATTTTTAAACAAATAAGTTTATTTCGTATTGAGTAGTGATATTATCACAAAAAAAGCTTCCAAATGAAGATGGCATCCCAAAGATTTTGCTTACGATGGAACAACCATCAAAGTAACTTACTTTCGGTGTTTGATCAACTTTTACATGCAGAAACATTTACGGATGTCACGCTGGCCGTTGACGGACAATATTTAAAAGCACACAAAGTGAGTACACGAAACTGAAAAAAAACATCTATTACCATTAAATATTTATTATATATATACATATATATTTTTATATACATTATTATTATATATATATTGTTATATATATTTTTAGTATATTTTTTTATATTTTTTAGTATATTTTTTTATATTTTTTAGTATATTTTTAGTATATTTTTAGTATATTTAGTATATTGTTATATATGTTTTTATTATATATATTTTATTATATATATTTATATATTTTTTATATATATTTTTTTGTATATATTTTTTATATAAATTTTTTTTATATATATTTTGTTATATATACACTTTTTTATACATTTTTTTTTTATATATATGTTTCTATATATATTTTTTTATATATATTTTTTTATATATATTTTTTTATATGTATTTTTTTATAAATATTTATTTTTTTTAGATGGTACTTTCTGCTTGTAGTCCCTATTTTAATAATCTCTTTGTTAATCATCCTGAAAAACATCCGATTGTCATACTTAAGGATGTTCCTTATTCCGATATGAAATCGTTACTTGATTTTATGTACCGCGGTGAGGTATCAGTTGATCAAGAACGTTTAACTGCATTTCTACGAGTTGCTGAAAGCTTACGGATTAAAGGTTTAACAGAAGTGAACGATGATAAACCTTCAGCGCCTGAACCAACACCTCCACCACAATTGCAACGTATACAACCATATTTAGTGCAACAGCAGCAACAACAACGTAATAAATCGCAAAGCAATTTCGTCAATAATAATAACAATAACAACAATGCGCCTCAAATGCAAACACAACAGTCTCTGTTAAGTTCTGCTCTTGCTTCGATGCCAAAGCGAAAACGTGGAAGACCGCGTAAACTATCTGGCAGCTCGAATGGCACTGGCAATGATTACGATGAATTCGAACGTGAAGGCATGTTAAATGTAAGTTTGATTTTAAATTTGCCTTACAAAATCTATAATCTATAATCTGTATTGTATTTGGAATTAGGACTCTGATATGGGCGAAAGAAAATTGAATGAATCTTTCTCCGGTAATGATGATGGTTCAGATGATAATCAACGCGACTCCTTCGATAATGACAACGATATGGATGTAAGTTTATTTAGTGATTATTTTATAGCATTTTTCTTTTATTATTATTAATTATTTTAAAAGTTTCCTTTATTCAAGTTGAATTTATAATTTCGGTGATTATTGCACATTATTAAAAATATATTATATCATAATGAAGTTATTACTTGATAACAAAAATTTAAAAGTACTTTCGTTGCTTAAAAGTTTTTTGCAAATTTTAAGTATTCAGTTTTTGTAAATAGTTATTATCTTTTATACATATATGAAAATTTATTTATGTAGTTGTTTCGTATATAAGAATTGCCAAAGTGTTGGAAGTGCACTTGTGTTGTAACCTTTAGAGATAGCTTATGTAGTTTCTTTTAGGAGTATTAAACGGTTCCAAGAACGACCTGGTCTACCTCCCGGAGCTACTCGTTGAGTTCGACGATCAAGTACCGTTCAACACACCCAAAAAAGTGAACTTAAAACAATTTTAATTTCAATAAAATAATTGAATTTCGTTAGAACTACTTTACTCTAAAATTAGAATTTTAGTGCTTTAAATATAATTTTCAAATTTTTTATTTTAATTTTTAAACAAAAATACAAACTGTAAAAAAATATGAACTGTATTTTGTTCTTAAGACAAACATTACAAGTTAATTGTGATCATACATATAACTTACGAACTATTTATACATTGGTATAGTATTAACTATTGAACTTAAAGTAAAGGCCTTTAATGCAAACTTCCAACAAGGTAACTGAGTACACTGTATTCTTTGCTTCTAAATTCACTCTAAAAGTGTTTGTTAGAAACAAGCACTAAATATTTGATATATATGTATATATATATAAAAACTTAGACGTGCTCTATTGTACCTTAACTTGCAGTTATCAAATGATACATATAATTACCAGTATTCAAATCAAGTATAGTGTATATTGTACTCTAGTTATGGTATATTTTATGTAATTATGTAATTAAAATTTAAAATCAGTAATAACAAAATATGAACACAACTTACCACAGTAAATAACATGATGCCCTTAGAATCAGGGTTGTTTTAGTTTTAATATACCATATGTATTTATTTATGTATTTTTTTTCCGTAGGCATATCCTGACCAAGGTGCTTCTTCAATAGCATCAACATTTGTTCAATAATTTAATACTAATATACATATATATATATGATTAGAGTGACAGGTAATCAGAAAGCTTTTCGCCGACTTTTATTTTCCTCGCAAGAAACCCTAAGATATAAAAAGGACAATTAAATTTCCGATAATTTAATTTCCGATACAATTGAAATCAACCAGGGTCCAGTCGTAGAAGCTTAGCTACCTCAAGGGGATAAGTCTAAGTCCAGAGGTCGTTTCGACTTAAATTATTTGCAAGTCTCGTTAAGCTATGTTAACCGGGAAGTTACACATAACCTAAGTGTCTTCAATTGGTTATTGAATTTTTTTTTTTAAATAGTTGTAATTGTATAAATGAATCTGTTTAATTAGTTAATATAAGAGGACATATATAGATATCTATACTTATATAATGTTGCCACTTTACTTAAGTAGTAATAATAAGAGTTAAATATTATTTCAATTTATTTATTAAAATATATTTAATTTAAAATTTTTAGGATAACCGAGATAGTTCCACACAAGTAAAGAAACAAAAAATATCAAAGGAAATGATGAAAGCACAACAAAATGACGACAACAGCACCTCTGGTAAGTCTTATTTTTCCGATATTATATAAAATAAAAGACATTTAATATTATTTTAAAATAATTGCATTTAATAATTGTTATATATTGTTAACACTTTCATTAAAAAAAAAAAAAAAAGAAATCCCGATTTTTAGGAAAATTGATGAATGTATTGAAACAACTGTTTTTATTTATAATACATTTATTTAAACAAATCACCTGCAAGTTTTTTATATAGTAAATTGGGTGTTTTGAAAGTATCATTAATTAATTTAAATCATCATTACTCATTTATGTAAAAGCCCCAAAGTTAAACATAAATTGCACTACATAAACTAAACTAACAAAAACTCGAGAACGGTCGCCAAGCTAATATACTTTTTATATAGTTTTTCGATAAATCGTATAGCAAATGTATCGGAAAAGCTAAAAAGGGATTTTCGTAGAGAAAATTTGCCAGACGTAATAAGATAAATATAAGATAAGAGAAAAACGTTTGTTGATTTTGAAGTGAAAAGAAAGTGAAAAAATTTATAAATTTATAAATTTAAAAATTTAAAATGAAAGTTGTAAATTTCGCTCTTCGGAAAAAATTCGGGTTACAACGTGTGAATACTTTTTCCGTCGGCAGGTGAGTTCAACTTTTTTGTAAAAAAAAAAGTATGATGCCAAAAAATGCAAAATGCAATATGCAAAATTTATAAAACAAACGAAATAAAGTTGAAATGGTTTCATCAGATGAAATTTTGTACCTTTTCTTGATAAATCGGGTTAAGCTTAGGGATTTATGGCCGACGTGAAAAAAAGAATAACTTCATACAAAACCGTTAATTTGCAAAAATATAGCGTGAACTGAACAATTCAAAATGATATTTCAAATATATATATAATTGAACAAAAAGCAAAGTTATGATGCACTTATGAATTTTATCACTCATAATTTATATATTTTTCACATATTTCTCAAAATCGAAAAGTATTGCAATACTTCGATTTTACGATTTTACGATTTGTCAGAACTCTGAAAACTAACTCAACACATCAACAACAACGTTAAAGTTACAAACTGTAAACAAATAGCACAACTAAAAATTAAAAATTACAAAAAGAACAAAAAAAAATAATCACAAAAAAAAAAAAAAAGAAAACATAAAAATGGCTTCAAATCCCTATAGCTTTTCCGATTCGATAGAAAAATTTTAGTACTTTATATTTCATTTTTAAAAAAAAATTTTGTGTTTTTTGTTGCATTATACACACAGCATTTTCACTTATCATTATAATTAGTGATCACAATCGAAAGAAACATGTTAAATGTATTTTTTATTTTAGATGGACACGATAGTGATTGTGATGAGCAAATGGATTCATCTTATATGGAACCGCAACTCATGTTAGACGAATACGATGAACCTGTCGAGTTTAAGTTCGATCCAAATGCCAATTCAACTCAAGACAATGCAATGATGCAGGCTAACCTAACTGAACAGCAGCAACAACAAGTGCGGCAACAAGCCATCTTGTTGGCCACCCATCAAAAACAACGACAACATCTCGCTGAAGCGGCAGCGGCTGCTGCTGGTGGCATGAAAATGTCTGCTGTTATTGGCTCCGGTTCAATACCGGGTACTGTTACATTAATTAATCAAATGGTCAGTATTCCGAAATTGACACCAATTGGCAAAGTTTCAAAACCAAAAGTCAATAAACGCGCTAAAATAAAACAAAATGGCGTAAGTGGCAATGGACAAGGTATCGATACAAAAGTAAGTTAAAACCTCTGTTATGGAAAAGTTAAAAAATTTTTAAATATGTGGTATTTGCTATATGCTATACTTTCAAGATGTGTAGGATTGTATACTAACACTGTTTGAGCAATAAGACAAATATTCTTTAA